CAGTTTTAATATTAGGGAGGGGGGAGGGGCGTTTAATATTACGGGGAAGGGATTATATATATACATATATATATATAATACATACACGTGTATGCATACATACATACATACATACATACGTACATACATACATACATACATACATATACATACATACATATAATATATGCCTCAGTGACGGTGCAAAGATTCGAGGGAACCCAGGGGTGCGCATTTCCGCGCCGGATTGTTGGATCGGCTTACGACAACCTTCCTGGCATATGGGCGGTTCTCTAATGTAGGGTCCCTTGTAGGGTCCTTATTATAACCCGTAAGCTATTATAAGGGTGCCGTACTATACAGGGACTTCAAAAAGGGACCCTCATAATTTATAGAACTACCCATATCCCGTGCAGTCAGGTCTTGGGGCTGAGGTGACGGTGCAGAGATTCCGGGAACCTGGGAGTGCGTGTTTTGCGGGTTTTAGTCCAGTGACTGACAAACCCTAAACCCCTAATTCCCTAAAGCCCAAAGCCCTACTTCCTAAACCCTAAATCCTTTAAGCCTAAGCCCAAGCCCCTACACCCTAAACCCTAAAGCCTTAAAGCCTAAAGCCCAAACCCTACTCCCCGAACCCTTCCATTGGTCCGGGCTTCAAGGCAGGCGGCAGAATGTCGTAACTACGCCCCTATCGAAGTTGCTGCCAAGGTTGGAAGAATGGGCTTAGGGTTTATAGCTTGGCTCCTGAGCGACCCCTGAAAAACAAGGGTGCCCCTTTTTCCTGTTATTCTGTTTGAATGAGGGAACCATAAATAAAAAGGTCAAAAGGGCACTAATCAGGAACCTAGATAGGGTTTAGGGAACGAGGTCACAGGACCACCCTGGCTGCACTTACCAGCAGAGCGCGTCTGGTTTCTCAGCCCAAGGGGGCTTCGGAGGCCGGAGGTCGTTGCCTCGAAGCCGATGTAGCAAAGAAGTCGAGCATGGCCCCAGACAAAGTAGGCGGTGCTTCATGATTTATCTAGCTAGGACGCGCTAAATACAACCATCCATATAATGAACGACACCCCCAACATGGAACCCTCAGAGCCGAAGATAAATACACCGACGGCTTGAACTGCCCCTCAGGATGCGCCGCCAGAATGTCGCCGATCTCTTTCAACCCTACTTTGGAGAGCACCTCCTCAGCTTAATACATTACCCGGCTGCATTCGGAATTTGGCCTCGTCATTCACGAAATCTCGGACGTAGACCCAAACCAACGAAGACTTCTTGGATGACTCCTGACCACGGCATGCGGCGAGGTGGACCGTGTCGGCCGCCAGGAACTTGTTCTGGTCATCCAACCTCCGAAGCATAACGGATGGTAGCTCATGTGTGTCTGGAGAGCCATCTTGACCCTGTTCGTGCGCAAACTTCGCCACGCGCATACGGACGCTCAGCCAATCCGATGGTCTGAGCAGGGTCTGCAAGCATGGCATGCACGAGTGAATGTCATTGGGTAGGTTCTTGTCTCTCTTGAACTTTGCGTGCGCTTGCAGCACGTCCTGCTGGTCTGTACTGGCATCCACTAGCATCGTAAGTTCCCGCAGTTCGGGAACGGGATGTACCCTGCACAACATCGAACTGGTCAGACTGTGTTTTGAGCAGGGGGACTGCGACTCCGCGACCGTAGACATGCAATCGTTGTCCTTTTCCTAAGTTCCCCAGTAGCCCCTTAACAATAAGGGTACCCTTTTTCCCAATATTCGGCTTTAATAAGGAGACCCCCAAATAAAAAGGACAAAAGGTTACTACTTGGGAACCTAGTTTCGGAGTAGAGGGAGAGACATTCTGGGATCGCTCCAAGGGTTGCTTCGGGCTGTTGCCTCGTATCTGGATCTTCCGTAAACGCCAGAAGGTGAAGGGGTCCTGCTGCATCCAGAAAGCGCGGCACAAGAACGTGGAAAATGTCCACACCAACCCGCGAATACGCACTTGGCAGTGAGACGCGCAGGCACGGCGGGATGCTGCAACTTTCCTCCCTCTCTTCCTGGATTTGGCTTGCGCTGCATGACATCTTGACGAAGTTCTCGAACTGTTCTTTTTCCTCCTGGTCGAGCAGGTCGGTAAAATTCACACCTTGAAGGTCAGTGGGCGTTGCCAGGACACGTCTCAAGCGAGTGTTGTCCCCGACGATGTTGAAACCCTCATCAAGCAGCACGTCTGCGTCGCAGACGCTTCGCAAGACCCGCTGGAACCCTTCCAAAGAGAGATGAGCGTCGGCAGACTGGAATGAAGCTTTGATGCAGGTTCGGGCCCAGTCCTGGGCCATGATCGAGACTCCGCATGTCAAGGAGAGGATGACAGCCTGACCGCAAAGGAAATGCCTGGGAGGACCGCCGCGGGCCCCCTCGAGACCGAAGTAGCATGCAACTTCCACCACACAAACCCAAATGTAACATGGGATCATGACGGGCGGGTCGTGAATGACAGCAGCCCCACACACGTGAAAGGCTGCCGACACAAGCGAGAGCAAGTTGTAGTCCGCTTCATCTGAACAGTGCGTGTTGATGATGAAGAAGGTGTGACCTGCATGCGACAGCAACATCAGCCGTCGAAGCGCGTTGAAGGTGAGGTGCGATCTTGCCATCCACCAGCAGCAGAGATAGTGCATCAATCCCGCTACAAACTGGACAGCGGTGACAAAGTCCGGCTGCTGTTGCAGGCGGTACAAGAGGAACAGCACTAAGGCGACCAGGAAGTGCGCCACGTATCGTAGAGCTTGCTGGTAGTGTTCCACCATCATCTTCCGCAGGGCATCTTCCATGCGCTGCTCCTGCAACTCCCGCTTCTTGAACCCTTGCTCAATCCAGCTCAACCAGGCCGTTGACCAGCCCTGAAGGTTCCACTCTGCGGAAGCGGCATGGACAGAAAGGACAACTATGCCGCAGGCCACAGCGGCCGGAATCGAAAGCATTGCGGTGAACTCCGCAATGGCAAGCCTGCCTACTAGCAAGGGCAGCGAACCTTCGGGCCCTCAGTCTTGACAAAATAGATCAGATTCCGCATTGGCAGCTTGAGCCGAAGTTCCCTTCGAAGCATACATGCATGCACCAGCCAAACGCGCATCTGGAGATACATACGCGTATGAAAATGCATCCCAGCATCTATGCATCTAATGCATCCATCCATCCATCCATCCATCCATCCATCCATCCATCCATCCATGCATCCATCGGTCCATCCATCCATCCATGTGCTTGCAAAGGCAAGCAAACAACCTATCTATCTATCTATCTATCTTTCTATCTATATATACATACACACCTTTCTCTCTCTCATATATATATATATATACATATTTATACATGCATACGTACATGCATACATGCATACCTACCTACCTACCTACCTACCTACCTTCCTACCTACCTACCTACCTACCTACCTACCTACCTACCTACATGCCTACCTACCTACCTACCTACCTACCTACCTACCTGGTTACCTGGTTACCTACCTACCTACCTACCTACCTACATACATACATACAAACATACATACATACATACACACGTCTGTACATGCATACATGCATGCATACATACATGCATACAGACATACAGACATCCATGCAGATATATATATATGTATATGTATATATATACATACATATATAAATGTATGTATATATATATACACATGTATGTACATATATATATATACATATATATACACATATATATATACACATATATATATATATACATACATATGTATGTGTGTATATATCTATGTCTATATATATATATGTACACACATGCACACACACACGCATATTTGTTGATACTTATGTGTCTATATCTCCATATGTACATGTAAATACACGTGCATATAGCTTTGAAAAGAGCAGCCTTGAATCGAACCCCAGAAGCAAACAAGAACAGCCATGCACAAAGGATCCTAAACCTTACACCCTAAACCCGCCTAACGCCCTAGACCCTAAACCCTAAACTCTGAAATACCCCAAACCCTAAACCCTAAACCCAAAACCCTCTAGTGCCCTAAACCCTAAACTCTGAAACACCCCAAACCCTAAGCCCTAGACACTAAACCCCGGCTCACAAGGCCTCATCATCATCCATGGAGTCCACGAGAGCACCAGCCTCCAGCCCAGTGTAGCCGCACCTTTGGAAGCAACGAGCTTTTGGGTCTATAGCTTAGGGTTTTAGGGTTTAGGTGTTAAGGGTTTGGGGTTCGTAGTTTAGGGTTTTAGGGTTTAGGCTTTAGAGTTTAGAGTTTAAGGGCTTAGGGTTTTAGGGTTAAGAGGTTTAGGGTTTTTAGGGTTTTAGGGTTTAGGGTTTAAGGTTTTGGGTTTTTTAGGGTTTAAGGGCTTAGGGTTGAAGGGTTTAGGGCTTTAAATTTAGGCTTTTGGTTTAGAGTTTTTGGGGCTTAAGAGTATTGTGGGGTTTAGGTTTCCGGATTGAAGGACCTAGGACGTAGTACATAGGATCTTCATAAGGCCAAGTGTAGGATAGGGGTTTGGACTCACAAAACAGCAAAACAGCAAAGTTGCTACAGCAGTCCACGAATATGGGAACCTGATTAACGATCCCTGGATCTTTATGAGGGTTCTTGATATAAACCCTAATATATTTGGGGTTATATGGCCAGGGTTTCTTTTTCAGGTTCCTACATTGCCAGTCAACTATAGATAGAGCTGCGCAGACCAGTGCAAGCAGACAGGGAATGCAAAAGCACAAGACGAAGCACAACAGCACCACAATGAATGCACAATCGCAGCCGCGCACGAGATACATCAGAAATGCCCTTGAAGTGACCCAAAACCTAAAACTCGTTCGCCTGAACCCTTCCAACGGGACAGGAGATGTCCTAAGGCTGGCACGCCCACACCTCTGCGGAAGTGCCCAACACCTGGGAAAGCGCCTCCCCATAGCTGTGCACCCGGGCCTCCACCTGTGTATACGACTGTCAGGGAGTAGTGCCACTAGGTCATTGGACTTAGAGACTAAGAGGCA